TSKACSAKYGAGCTCTGCAGATGGACCGAAAGATTTTTTTTGTACAGTTTGTATTTTAGTTATGTTGGTTTTGCAGGTSGTGATGAATGAGGCGCCGTAAGGAAGCTGTGGTCGAATAATTTGTTTGTATAGGAGAAGTTTGTTTTTGATGGTAAGTTTGCTGTTTGGATTTAGAACGGGGTGGAGGGCTGCACGTGCTGCTCTTGCTTTGGTGATTTTGTCTTTGATACGTTCGGTGAATGTTAGTTTTTTGTCGAGTAAGATACCTAAGTATTTTGCTCCCGCTTCCACAGTTCTTAACGTGGAAAGGTGATTGTTTAGTCGGACCCGGAGTTTTCTGTCATTTAGAAAGCTTGCCACAAACTGCACAAAGCTAGTTGGCAGATGGTAGAGGCTGGCCAATTTCCAGATTATTCCTTCGTGCCAGACGGTGTCGAACGCTTTTGCTATATCCAGGAGAATAATCCCCGTGGAGGATTTTGCACTTGCAAGTGATTTCTCATGAAACTGAATTGTTCGTGGGGGATTCCGCTGTTATGGGAGATTTTATCCAAGAGTCTTTCTTTGAAGAAACTCTCCGTAAGTTTCGAGAAGGTGGGCAGAAGGCTAATTGTTTTGTAAGGTTTTGTTTTTTCCTGGCTTTGGGATGAGAGCTATAGCAGCTGTTTTCCAGCTGCTAGGAAGCTCACGGAGTGCAAAGGCACTATTTATCAAGGTTAAGAGGTTATGCAGGATGTTTTCTGGGAACATTTCCTAATCAGTAGTCAACTCTGAACTGATTTTCCAGCGAATCGGCAAAAGCTTCCACTTGTTCTTCATCGCTGTGAGGTCCGTGAATGGGGGGATAGTTTGTGAAGGATTTTCTTTGGAATTTCTTGGAGAGCGTCCATACCGAATTATCACCAGGCTCCAAGTTTTCCAGATAATTTTGCCAGTTTAGGTTGTTAATTGCCGAAATTTGTTTCCTAATTTGGTTTGTGAGTTGATTGGCCTGGCGGTTGAGAGAGTCATCAGAGTTTGATTTTGCTTCTATTTCAAGAGGAAGGCCGAAAGGGTTTTTGTTCGAGTTTGGTTTGAAAGTGGTTGCTTTTTGAGTGGTCTCGGTGATGGAATTGTTTAGTGAGTTGAGTTCTTGGGTTGAGTTTACTGGTGCGTCTGGGATATTTGTTTCTTGTAGGAAAAACCTGAGGGCGTCCCAGTCTATGTAAGTTAGTGGTTGGAGCGGGTTTTGTATGAAGTTCTCGTCTAAGAGGATTTTGATTGGGTTGTGGTCAGAGCTGAGTGAGTCAGAATTTGTGATTGACAAATTGAGAGGTTCTTGGATAGAGCTGTGTCAAGAATCTCTGGAGTGACATAGTGGAAGTGGGTGGGTTCGTCTGGTGCATGAGTTTGTAAGTCTAGATCGTTGGAAAATTTTAAGAAGTCTAGTGCCTTCGAACTTTGTACTTTTACAGCCCCAACTGGAGTGTTTGCTGTTTAGGTCTCCAGCTAGGAGAGTGGTTACGTTTGGATAAAAAAGGACTTCATAGTCCAACAGGGTGGTTGTTTTGTTTGCAGGTCTGTAGGCGGAGATCAGCTGGACTGAAGTGTTGTACATTTCGACTTTAATGGCTGTATTTTCAATTGTTGTATTGTATTTGTGTATGAACTATGGACTTTTTGATTATCATGGCTGTGCCACCGCCTTGAGTGACTCTGTCTGTACGGTATGTAATGTAATTGTTTATCTGGAAGTGGGTGTTAGGTTTAAGGAAGGTTTCCTGAATGAGAGCGATGTCTACATCGTTTTCCTTAAGGTATGCCTCAAATTCGCACCTTTTGGAGTACAAAGATGCGGCATTCCAGGAGACGATACGGACACCTTGGGGTTTAATGCAATTTCTTAGCATAGCATTTTGAGGATTGGATTTTGGGAGATTAGGGCCGAAAGTTCGTTGACTTTGGCCTCAATCTCCTGGTCGGAGAGGAGTAGGAGTTGGACAAGTTGGGGATTTAGGGATGAAAGTTGTGAGCTTGGAGTTTTGGTGGGTTTAAGGGCTGGGTTTGTGTTGGTTCGGGCGGGATTTGCGTGGTAGTTTGTGGGAGGGGCTTAGCGTGTTTTAGGGCTTTTTGGGCATACGAAATGCCTGATTCAACTTTGTTGTTGAACAGGCATTTCCGCGTACTTGTGGCAAGTGGCTTTGGAGCCACAATTTGTCAAGGAATGCCCGAACTTTTGGCACTTCTTACATTGGGGAATGTGTTTGAGGTTGAGGGTGTTTGAGTTTCTTTGGGGCTCTATAAAGACTGGGAGGTTTAATAGGCGTTTTACGTTTTGGAAGTCAGTTTGGGATTGTGGTAGGAGTACGTTTACCATATTGGAAACTTTTTGTAGTTTCCAAGACGATAAAAGTGTGTCTGTTCAGGCGAGCTGCCTACACACCGGCTAATTCTACCATTAATCTACTGGACGTACCAATGAAGGGTGGGCCCTGATGGTGCGTTTGGGCGCGATGGTTCGGACTAGGCGATCGCGACCGCTGACATAAACTGGTGGTTCCATAAGGGGCGCCCCGTTTCGAGCCCCTCAAAATGCCGTAACGGGAATTATAGCGGCCGAAGCCGTTGGTGGGCGATGGGGATCGGGCGGGACTTGTCGATGCCGACCATGAACCTAGTGCAAAAAATTCTTAAGGACACCTTTACGAAAGACTCGCCAGCTGTTTTTTCGAACTAACAAACTAATAAGAGTCAGACAATGTGGTTGAATTTAAGCAGAAACGGGCGATGCTCCTAGTTAAAGGACAAATCAGCTGAGATGGAAAAGATGATAGATGAGAATCCGATTCATTTTGAGATAATTAATATTTTTGGGAAAAATATACCAGCACCCTTAGGAACATTTAATGTTTTTTGAGTTCAATGGATTATTTGAGACCTCAGGTGCTCCCCAGTATGCATATATAAAGTGCTTGAGTCTATAGTAAGAAAGTTATTGACGGTGCGAGATTCTGCCTCCTCAAAAACCGCTTCAAATAGCACAAAATGTCGATTATTTAGGCGTTGTATGAGTTCGTTGCATTGCTAGTTCCCTTGAGGAGAAATTGTTCTTAAATCGCTGTCATAAGAAACTTACGTCTACTCAGGGGCGGATCCTGCTTTAAAGTCAGGGGGGTTATGTAGAAAAAATAGGGGCGCAAGATTATTGCAAAATTTCATGTTTTCCGTCCCGTTTTACATGTTTTTCAGAAGCAAAATGAGCAAGAACGCTCGTTTTTACATCATTCCAAAGAGAACTAAATGGCCTTTTGAGAAAGTGAACCATGGATGGGAAAATGTTGGCAGTTTTCTCAAAAAATGCTTGAATTCAAGAAGTTTTAGATTTGCGTGTTTTTTTTTGAGTTGCAAAATCCACTTGAACATGACGC